AAAGAAAGTTTTAAACAGAGGACCCTACATGCAAACCAAATCCTAAGAGGTTATCCGATGTGTAGAAGACATACAAGTGGATTCGCTCTTTACACCACACCATGGCTCCTGGGGCTCAGGGTTCTATTTTCCCTCTCTTTTAGATAGGGTCTTGCTATGGTGATCCTCCTGCCTCGGCCTCACAGCTGGGACTACAGGTGCTTGCCGCATATCTGGCTCTTTCTAAGGCTGGGTCTCCCTATGTTGTCCAGGCCAACCATAAGCTCAGGATCCTCTTGCCCCAACCTCCCCAAGTAGCTGGGATACAGGTGCATGCCACCACATCTAGGGCTCTATTTACAGAAGAGGGGATGATGCCCAGAGACACACATTAGTGTCTTCCAGCATTCAGTCTAAATCCTTGCTGCCCCATTCCTTCGTGAGTCCATGTAGTTACAGGCAAGAACAGACCCGGTATGTTTCCCAGGATGCCAGGTCTTTTCTTAACTTTCTTGAGATATAATTCATGTACCATAAAATTCGTCCTTTAAAATATGCAATTCAGTGGTTTGCAGTATATTCACAGGTTGTGCAATAATTCCCACTACCTAATTCCAGAACATTTTCATCACTTCAAAAAGAAACCCTGTATCCAACAGCAGTCACTCCCCAGTATCGCCTCCCCTTAGCCCTAAGCAACCACCAATCTACTTGCTGTCTCTGAATTTGCTTATTTTAGGCATTTCATGTGTATGGAATTGTCCAATCTGTGGCTTTCCACACCTGGCTTTGTAAGAATTTTCAGATAAAAGAACATCGGTCTCCTCTGTCCTTTGTTATGATGTGAGGCATCCAGGCTACTTCCCAGACCTCAGCCAAAAGCTAAAGGGTCCCAATCTCATCAAGGAAGACGTCAAGGAAAGGATGGTCAGAACAGGAAGAGCCCAGTGGTTGAGAGCTCTGGAATGACTGGCTCTGAGCACAGGAGGAGTAGGTGAGAGATATCTCTGAAATTCTGAGGAAACAGCTAACTAAGCGGATGCCAAGGAAGCAGCCCACCCATAAATACTATGACTGTATTTTTGATGCATATAAAGCATCCTTTAGTGATTTTTTTTTTGAGAAATTTTTCTATAGGGTGCAAGAACTCACTAGAGAGACAGAGAGATAGAGGGACAGAAAGCAAGAAATCACGCCCTTGGTTGGATGGTCATGACACAATCCCTTCTCCTCAGTTCTCTCAGGATCTTGGGCATGCTTGCACATGTGCCTGACATGAGTTTCAACCCACCAGGTACAGGATTTAAACCTATGTCAGCCACATAAGAGTTTAGCACTTTAACCACTATGCCACCTGCTGACCCCAGTGGTTTAAGTGAGAAAAGTTGAAATGAATACGCTAACATAACACACCGGATATGGGAGGGTCCAGAGTTTGGATCCCAGGTAAACCTGAACATTCTGGGAACACCGGTAGGTATGTCTGTGATCCTGGTTGACTAGATGACAGCCCCTGCCGAGGGCCCCCTTCTGTCCCTCTCTCCCTCTCTCTCTCGATAAACTTAAAATAAAAGGAGACATCACTAGGATCATTGGGAGGCAGGGCTGCAGCGGGGAGAGTTCACTGCTAAGACAAATGAGAGTCACTTGGTCACTTTAAGCTTCGTTTTTCTCATCTGTCAAATGGCTGTAATGGTATCTACTTCTCAGGCGGTTGTGAGAGTTAGAAATAACGAAAGTAGGAAACCAGCAGTTAGTGTAATGGCTATGTTGCTGGATTCCCACGTAGTCGACCGCGGTTCGTGTCCCGGACCCGGTGGCTTAAAACTCACGCCGGGTGCGTGTGCGTGCGTGCCCAAGATCCCGAGAGGAGAATGGAGGAGAAGGGATTGCGGCGTGACCATCCCCCCTGGGGGGTGATTTCTCGCTTTCTGTTGCTATGTCTCTCTCTGTCTGTCTGGCGAGCGCACGCACCCTACAGTGAAAATCTCTCAAAAAAAAAAAAAAAAAAAAAAAAAAAAACAAA